CAGTGTCACCAGTGTCGCCATTGTCACCAGCTGCACCAGTGTCACCACTGTCGCCAGTGCCGCCAGTATCACCAGTTTCACCAGTGTACCAGTGTCCCCAGTGTCACCAGTTTCACCAGCTGCACCAGTGTCACCAGTGTCGCCATTGTCACCAGCTTCACCAGTGTCACCAGTGTACCAGTGCCACTAGAGCTACTGATATTCGATTAATCGAATATTCGAATTATTCGAATATGATGCTATTCGAATAGTGAAATTCGATTAGCAGTATTCGAATAATCGCTCACTGTCGATTATTCGAATAACCTGCTCGTAGTCAATTATTCGAATAATAACTGGTGCTCGATTATTCGAATGTTGAAATGTGTGTAGGTATCATGTATGAATAAATATGTACACATTTAAATAAATTGAAATGTAGGAACATAAGTTTGTTTTGAGAAAATTTTGTAATTATTCAGCAACAATATAAATGAACAGGTTAAAAAATCACATAAAATGCATTTTACCTTCTAAGAGGAATAATTAAGTTATTAAAATGGACACATATCTGTGAAGAAACGCTTATTATTATACAGGAATGTAAGAAGGCTAACATTTTGCGGTGACAAACAACTTCTACGTGGCGTGACAATATTCCCAGCAATTGAAAAAGTGCGTTCGGACTGTGCCGATGTAGCTGGTATGCACAAATATCTTGCGGTTAATTTGAAAAGTTCCGGATAAATAGCACGGTGATTTGAATATTGTGGCCGATCTGAGGTTCAGCCAAATAAGAGTCGATTTGTGACATAACATTATTTGTTGGAATTTCACCATCAAACAAAAAATCCAAGTCGGTATGCACTACGCTGTCTGTTTCTTGGTTAATGACATTGCTTACTTGAAGTTGGCTTCTGATAAAGTCATAAACCTTGTGTTTTGTTTGCGAATCTTCATCATTAAGGTTCTTATATCTGGGGTCTAAAAATGAGGAAATTATTGGAGCTGAAACTTTTTCTAAAACACAACCCATATTGAACCTTTCAAAAAGGGAATTACGTGCAGTCTCTTTGAATATATATTTATTTGCATCATCTTCCGACGATGCGGCCATGTGGTTTTTAATAAGACGGTGTATTAAAGGTCGCACTAAAGACAATGTCACATTTTTGCCACCACATAGCACTGCAGTCGCTTTATCAAAAGGTTTCAAAATGTCAACCAAGTTCTGCATTTCACCCCACTCCTTCTCTTGCATTTCTAGCCTCAGCGCATCGCAAGTTTTTGTAACGGTTTTATCTGATAAAACTAGGCAGATTGCATTTCGATTCAAAAGCAGCCTCTCACACATGTAATATTTGGAGTTCCAACGTGTTTCGCAGCATTGTATGAGTCGATTTTCCTTTATCTCCAACTGTACTTGGCGGTTTACTAGTGCAGTTTTGGCAATATTTGAGCGATGAAAATGTGCTGTTAAATTTCGTCCTTTTTTGCAAATTTTATCGTAATCAGGTACAGCTGCTAATGCGTCTTTTATCACAAGCTGCAAAAGGTGAGCGCTGCACTTGATGCTGTCCCCTATATTAAAAAGTTGTTGCGCTGCTGCATTCCTGACTGATGCACTGTCGTGCGTTATCGCTTGCGTTTTGTCGGAAATGTTCCAATCGGCTAAAACTACTTCTATTGCCGATGCAATGTTTTCTGCATTTGGTCGGTCTATAAATACAAATTATTTAAACAATTGACATGTCTTAAAATTAAAACACAAATTATGCATGTATGTATGAGTGTATGTGTTTATTTTATATATCTACATACAAGATAGTTATTTTAATAGATTTACCTTCTAGTTGCTCGTTACAAAGTGTAACTTTGCACAATTCACTATTTTTGTCAATATACTGGGCTTCGACTGATAAATAACAATCTTGAGTTCTTGATGTCCATTCGTCCACTGAAATTGATGCGCTTTCTACCTCCGCCAAATCGTTTGCATTTTTTTCTCTTACGTCATTATAAAACAATTGTAAGCGTGAGAGTATACTTTGTTGAGAGGGAACTTTGTATCCTGGTTCCAATAACTTCATAAAGTCGCGAAAGCCTTCAGAGGAAACGAAAGGGATTGGTAACATGTTACTTGCGATTAGGCGTGCCACTCCACGAGATATCAATTCCTGACGTTCAAATGTGCAGTCATGAACGGTGTCGTGCTTTTTTCTCTTACGGCCACCCGAGGTGCTCGCCTGCGTTTCAACGCATTCACCACTTGTTGCATCGATATTCGTGTCCGGTGTTCTACATATGTGTAACAAGCTTGTGCTCTATATTTTACTTATAACTTATATTTTTCTTTATTTGTACTTACATGCCACCACCACGAATCGGTTCCTTCTTATGGACTTGTTTCAAGTGAGTGCTTAGCGAGGAAGTGGAGTGGTGGAAACTAAGGACTGCTCCACAAATGGAGCAGGTAACTTGCTTACCATCACTGCATTTCGTAAAAAAACTCCACACCCAACTTAGTTTTCTTGCACTCATGTTCACAAAAACACACAAAATTTATAAATTCTTTTTTTTTTTTGACAAATAACACTTATTACAACGATCAAATATTCGATTTTAAGAAGGTATTCGAATAATCGTAGCTTTGCGACTATTCGAATAATCGAAGAGAATCAACTATTCGAATAGTAACATTCGATTTCCAATCGTACAAACAATTGCCATTCGAACGTTCGAATATTCGAATAATCGAATTATTCGAACAATTTCAAGAGCTCTAAGTGCCACCAGTGTCCCCAGTGTCACCAGTTTCACCAGTGTACCAGT